GAAAAAAATGGCTTTTGAGCTGCTGCCTCAGCTCAGACCCAAATGTCAAAGCAACTAGTTTTGGATCTCCTCATTGGCACTCCCCCACGCAGCTCCTCTGTCCCCATCAGAGTCTCATCTGCTACTCCTGAAAGCTTTAGTACCTTATTCTGGCTCTAGTAACACTGGAAGAGATCCAGAACGATTCCAGTAGAGCTATTTTGGATTTGCGTTTGCAGGAGGAATTGTACCTAGAGGTTTTAAATTAATCGCATGGTCATTTTTCCTCTGTATATTTAACCACCAAAATTAATTCACATTTGAAAGTTTCACAAGCTGCTTCTTTCATTATCTCAGCTAGCTGTGGTTAAAGGCGGCATGGCAGGAGGGTGGTAGTCTGGCTGAAGTTGTACTGATAGGAAAAATGATGGGAATTCTTTCCAATGAATCCCAGGGGTTTGGGTGGTTGGATGGTGGGATGAAGGTGGAGGTAAGGATGCATAAGATGCTATGGTATGTGTTGGCTATTGACTTTCCATGTAGTAAACAAAATTACCAGATGATTGTTAGCGTGTGTTTTCTTCTGTTTGAAGAGAATATTTTACGCAGGACTGCGATTCATAGTACTGAACTGTAGGGGACTAATGTTCCTGTTCTCCAGCTGGGAGAAACTAATTCAACATCTTGTGTTGTAAACACTCACTCATTTTAACTGATTACACCTCCAATGTTCCTCAAATCACTAAAATTACTAATTGCTATTCCTTACACATCAGAGAGTGAATCCTGAATAATTAACCCCAAATAAAATTAGATGAATTGGCCCTTTTAATTAGAATCCCTGCTGCTGTTTGTTCTGAGCTTCCTTTTCTTACTGTTAAGAGACTTTTAGAATGATTAAAACTATTTAAGACTTAAACAGCCAGTGACCTTTTAATACAATATAAATCCATAAAAGCAATATTTCAGCTAGCAGGTGGTGAAGTAAATTTTCAGTGCAACTACCTGACAGACTCAGTATTCCTTTTTTAAATACTGAGGATGAAATTAGCCATTGTGGGGTTTTGTTTTGGTGGTTTGTTTTTTTCTCCCTCCTGCTTATTAATACAGTAGCTGATTAGCAAAAGTAGTTCAAATGGCAGGATTAGTGATTGGTAAGAGAGTAGTAATTTAAACAGTGCCTTGGGTTGTTGGAGCTGCTTCATTTTAGGAATCACAGGCCAATGCGGTATATTTAGGTAGATTGTGGAGCTGGTGTGTAGTTGTGTGATGGTTTGCCCCACACTGGCATGCTGCCAGTGACCCCTCATGACATGGTTTTGACCAGCGATGCACTGATATAAAACATGATTTTAATCATATGCTTTCGTTGTCTGGTGATGTGTGTTAAATACAGGAAAATACTCACTTTGGGAAACTTAGTAGGATGTGTGTTCACACCTAAGAGTCACCAAGTCTTCTCTAGCTGAAGGTTTCTATAAAAATTCTGTGGTGTCACTTTGGCAGTATGAAGTTTTCCAGACCACTTAGTAACGTTGCAATATTTTGCAGCTTTTTGCAGTGGTTATTGAAGTATATGGGCTGAGTCAAAAGGGTTTTAGCCTAGTGCTAAACAAATTAAGGTAAATCTTAGTTGTTTCAGTGTAGATCACCCTCAAATTGCAAACTTTGACTTTCTGCAGTAGAAGGTAAATACTTGACTGGGCAATGGGAAATGCCTATATTGGCACAGTACTTTGCCAGACGAAGTCTGTTTGGACCAGAACGGAAACACATCAGGTGCTCCATCACTGTCCTTAGTCTAGTCTCTGAGCCCAGGGAGAGCTGTAATTTTCAGTTGATTCAAACTGATTCTGACCCATTTTCAGAGCTAGAAATTATCAAGATGATGATGAGAAAGGGTTATTTTTGTTTGGAAGGAGAAAAATTAAAACCATCTGGGCATATAGTCTTCAGATGTCTGCCAGTAATTTGGAAAGACCAGTGTGAACCCTGTTTTGTTGGTTGTTAGATTTCATTAAGTTATTGTTTCAGGGAAAAATATGGTGGTTTGCTTTTTTGTGTTTCCGAGGGCTTTTCCCCCAAACAGTCTTTTCTTACTGAACATGTGAGATTTTCTTCGTGTCTAGAAGTTTCAAAGCTGCAAATCTTCATGTCTAAACAACTGTGTCAGTCAAGGGGGGAGGCAATTACTGTGCTGCAATTCATTTGTTGACTGGCAGATATATCTTCTTCAAAACAAAGGCTTGAGACACCAGCCTGATCCTGCAAAAAAACTGAAGTGCACTTAAAAATTTAAAGATTAGACTGTGAGAAACGTGCTTGTTGCATGAGACAGGATGTTTTTCTCAGCTTGTGCTTGTACCCAGAAGGCATCACGCAGCCAATAGCAAAAATATTATGAGTTTCTGTTCAGCCTGACAAGCTCATGCTGATGTAGATGTCTGCTAAGGCTTTGAAAAAAAATTTATTTGTACATTTGAAAAGTGTAATAATTAAATGCCTAAATCTCCTTGGAAAGAGTAAGAGGAGGAAATTTGGGGAGGAGAGGGGTAAAACGTTGCAAATGCATCTGCATGGCACAGATGTGGTTGGAGCTAAAAATTGGGTTGGGGCTTGGGGGCACTGCTTCTGCTTACTGTTCTGCTGTAGTTTTCTGACATAGCCATGATGAAGTGGCTAAATTTCTATCTACTTGTATGTAAAATATGGGAGAAAACGTTACTGGGGTCATGGTGTCATCTCTCGTGGTTGCACTGACTGATGCTCCAGGACAGCAGTGGGCATGAGTGCTGAGAGATGAGTTCAGGGCTATGGTTTCCCAGCAAGTTGTGCCATCCTATCTAAAGTAACTCAGCTGGTGCATGTGTCGCACTGCGCAGTCCCTTTGAAGGTTGAGTCATGGTCTTCACAGCTGTAAGAAGAAAAAAATGACTAGCTGGTGCAATGAGGAGATATTTAGCTCCTTTAAACGTATGGTTATGGGTAGTGATTTCTCATTGCAAGAGCTGAAGGCAGACTGTGCTGCGGTATGAGAAGGGGCACGATGCAGTTTCCTGCCTGTGAATGTGCCTGCTTGAGGCTGCCTCTGTGGGGATACTTGCTGTTGGAAGGTGATTTCACCTGCTTTGAGGTATAAATTGCCTTCTGGAGGTGCCTGATGTCTTTCTGTTGGTGGAGCTGAGTGTAGTCACTCTCATAACTTAAGTATCTCCAAGCGTTCGCCCTAATGCCAGATGAGTATCAACCAAAATGTCAGTCTTGGTGCTGATTAGAGATCAATACTAATAGGCCTTTTGCCCATCTTATCACTTATTCATGGAAGGGCAGCAGAGTTAAATCAGTCAGGAGACTGTGAGCACTTAGGGTGGGGTTTGTCTTCCACCAACCCATGGTTAACTCTGGTAACCCCAGAGACCCATTTTCCTCATGGCCACTGGTGCATTCATGCAGACCAAAGGACGGTCCCTTCCCCAGATGCTTCCCCATGTAGCTGGCTGGCACTGGAGATGCTCAGCAGTGGATGGTATTGATACACTCCACCTTCACGAGGACTTTCCTGCCTCCTCCCACGGCTTGCCCAGCTCTAAGCAAGTAAAATCTGTCGGGCTTGCAAAGCTTTGGGGGTGAGTGAAGGTCCCTGAGGTGCATTTTAGGGAGATCCTGCTTGCTTTCAGCTTTTTATCCTCCTTTGCTCTCTCAAATGTAGATCTAAACCTGTACACTGCTCAGGACACAGATTTTACAGTCTTTGCCTGCTTTCCTCTCTGCTGGAAGAAGACTTCCAGCAATGCCAATAATAATAATCGAGTAACAGCTTTCCGTCCTGCATCCGAGGGAATAATCTCCCGTGAGTGCAGTGGGAACAGCATCGGGTCCTGTGGCTGTGTGTGGGAAAGAGGAAAGTGCAGTGGCAGAATAAATACCTAAAGCTGTGAAGGAGGAAAGTCCGTCTGTTCACAGAGGACCAGGAAAAGGCCAAACATCTGCAGGGTCCCCCCAGTTCATCAGGCATCTGCTCTCCGCTTCCCGATCTAAAAGCCTTCCCATTTGTGGGGAGAGTGGAGCCAACAGCTTATCTGACACAGAGGACAGAGTTAGCAGAGCTGGGCTGGGATGTGGTAAAGCCAGCTGTCTCCTACTGCAAAGAAAAGTATTTTCTTCCAAACACCAGAAAATGGCTCTTCTCTTTTTCTGTCCTTTGCTTCTTTTCTGAAAAATCTTGGCCAATGTTTTTTTTTCTTCTGGGAGGAACGGATCTTCCAGAGAGGCAAAGCGGTGTTTGTTTTGTTTGTTCTAGCAATCCTTGTTTTCCCCTTCTGTTACAGCAATTGCAACTTTTCCCCTCTCTTTATGTACAAGCCCTGTCCCTTTCCCTGTCTCATCCCCTTCAACACGTTTCTGTACCTTGATTTTGCTAAGGTATTCTGAAGGGTTGTAATAAAGCAGGAGTGCCTGACTAATGTGGTGTGCAGGGAGATGCATCACCTGTTTATTCTTTGGGAAGTATGTCTGCTGGAGTTGAATTCATTGCAAAATTGTGTTGGTTGGTTGGAGGGTCATTTTCACAGCAAAGGAGAAAAGTTTATGTTGCACTCAAACATCCTAGTATTTTTAGAACTAAACACCAAAGTGTTTATTTCAGAAAATTTATTTTCTTTGTACTCTGTATTGTATTTCATCTGATTTGGATTCTAACAGGAAAGCTTTCCAGGGCTTCATACCCAACTGCTTCCCACAGCAAATAGCATGAAGGTGCCTTGTTGGCAGTAGGCACCATGTAGGTGTCTAGCTGGCACCTGTGCCTGGGCTGGGCTGAGCCAGGGGCTTTGAACCTGGGCATGGGTGGTCCAGAGGACTGCAGGTCACTGGGGTTTGGCTCAGCACTTCTCTGAACATGGTGGTGTTTGGGGACAGTGCTCAGGGCCTGTACGTGGAAGGCAGTGTGGCACTGCATGGAGATGTTCATCATGAGGCGAGTTAAAACTGGTGAGTTGACATTCTCTCGTTCTCTCTCTTAGGGGACTTCCTTCCTCCACCCCCACCTCCTGTGGATGACCTCGGGAACATCACATCATCACAAGGTGCCTTCCCTCCCCCACCCCCTCTGGATGATGTTACTTTCAATGTGCAGGTAAAAGAGCAAGAATTTTATTGTTTGTGCAGAACTGATCCAAAAATTGTGGAAATGAATGGATGATAATAAAATGAGGTGGCAAAGTGCTGTGGTTAGAAATCATGTGTCAGGAACAACCAAGTCAGCTTTAGCAAGCTGTGTTTCCCAACTAAGGAATATTTCCATTCAAAACTTACTGAGCTATTAAAGGATTTTTCCCATCCGGCTTGAATTAGAAGACTAATTGCCTTATGTCCTTGTGATGGTGGATGGGAGTGAAACCTTCCCAGAATGAATTATTTTCTGGAAGGGCCATCTCCTTCCATGGACTGTGGAGAGACTTTAGGGCAGTAATCTGATCCTAAAAGTGCTTTGTTTAGCTGCCTAAAATTAAGTGAAGCAAATAAGCCCTGGCCCAGGCTCTAGTGATGTCACCAAGACCCTTTTCACTCCCTTTTTGCTGGCTTGGATCCTCTAGATTTGCCATCTGAATGAAAGTGCAACTTTTAAGATGCATCAGGTGATGATGGCATGTTCTGTGTGGATAGGGACATACCTTGAACACCTTTAAAAGGTATGAACATCTTTATGCAGACATCACTGGCTTGCCTGTAGTGCTGGGTACTGTTGAGTTAGTTCAGGCACATTCAGGAGAGATGTATTCAGACTGCAGGGACCGGCTGTCAAGGTGATCAAGGAGTGAGGAGCTTATTTTGCCAGTGGAGACCAGAAGAGTTTAGCTTGTTAGCTGAGCAAAAGGAAGGCTGAGAAGGGGACATGGATGCGAATTTGAAATACATCTGGGGAGTAAGTACCAGAGAAGAACAATTATTTCAGCTCTGTGTGAGTGTTGGTGCAGCAGCAGGAGAGTTTAAGCTTGCCAGGAGTACCTTCATACTGGTGTTTAGAAAGTTTCTAAGCACTGAGATTGCAAAGGTCTGTAAGAGTCTTCTGGGAGGAGTAGTGAGAGCAAAGCAAGTTTGATCTACTGTTGAGGCTGGTGAGAGTTGTGTAACCACATACCCACAGCCATACGGCTGCCCTTGGTGACCCTGCAAGGCTGTGGCAGTCCTGTGTCCCTGGATGGATTTGAACCTGAGAATAGGCTAGTGAACAGACATTAAACAGGATTCAAGAGACCTGGCTTAGTTCTTGGCCCCATCGTAAGGTCTAGAGTCAATTCATCAACATTGTGCCTCTATAGAATGAAAACATTTCCCTCCTTCATGGGCTTCTTGTGATCTCTTGCCTGTGGCAAGATGTTCAGATGCTGTCACAAAGTCTCAGCTGTTCCTGCAGTGGGCTCAGTGCTATAAGCAGCCTTTGAGAGGGAAGGGGTTAATGAGGATCATTCTCCCTTGCCAGGAAAGGCTGCAGCCGTCAGGGACATCAGCCAAGTGTGGAGCATGGCTTTTCCCAGCCTTGGGGAAATGAAGTAATTCTTCAGCAAGTGTTGTTCTGTCTTTTATCTCTCTGAGAAGAGTGGACCCTTTGGGAGCAAGGGAGCTTCAAGACTGCCCTGGGAAGCAGTGGAGCAGCAGGCTTCTGGCAAGGGCAGGGCGCAGCCTGCATGGCTCCCTGTGCAGAAGCCTGGGCAGCGGGAAGGGGTCATGGCACTTCACGGACTTCTCCCGGGTCAGGCTTCCCCCTTGCTGGATTGCCCAAGGAAGGGACCTCGCGGTGTTTATTGGAAGGGGCTCGTGTCTTCAGCTCCTCATGCCTCCCTCCTGCAGTGGGTCCAAAGATGTGCCTGAGACACTTGGGGCTGTCACTGGGATGTGCCTCATGCTAGAACCACTGTATAGGATGGCTCTTCGCCGTTGAGCTCATGAAATTGCTTTTTGTCACACCCTTTCTCTCTGGCTTTGGGAAGCTGGGGCTGGAGCTGTGTTCGCAGCATGGAGCTTTGGCAGGAGTTTGGGTAGAGAGAGATTCCTTCACATGGCAATCCTGTTCAGACGAAAGTGAGCCTGCCAGTTATACCCCAGCACTCCTGCCTGTCACCACGCCCAGATGTGCTCTCTGCAGCAAACACATTCCCTCCTTTAAGCTGTGCTCTCTTGTCACCTTTTTCCCTTTTCTTTTCCCTTCCATCCTCTGAAGGAGATCAGGAGTAGACAAAAGCCAGGGCTAAGTCAGGAGTCAGCTGGGTCTCATGTTGCAAAATTAGCTCCTTATCTTGCAGGAGCAGCAGAAGTCACAAAATAAAGGGCCCAAGACATAAGGGGAAAAGGCAGGTGGTGGTGGGGAAAGCTGCTTGATGTCTTTGTGCATCAAACACATCATTTTCACAACTCCAGACAGAGGTTCCCATGCTGAAGGAGCAGAATGAATGGTGGCTGTGTTTCTTCTGCTGTAAATCCTTTCCCAGCCCTTGGTTGCCTTGAAGGCAGAGATCTCATGAGCATGTGTTGGATCTGACTCCAACAAACTAAAGCCTTGCCTGATTCTGCTTTCCAATGCCAGGCCATTTAATTTACATGCCTCAGTTTCTCTGTTGCTAAATCTAAGTGCTAGAGGAGATGACCCCTCTCCTTGGCACGGACTGGATCTGAGGCTGCTGCCTGGAGCAGTTCTGCCCCTGCAGACCTGGGGCAAGTCCTCCAGATTTACTCCAGAGTTTGAAATTCATCTGCTCCAGAAAATCAGCCCTTTACAACAGAAATTTGTCTCTGGCTGGCAGAGTCCTGATGATACCTTATGCAATACCTGTGCTGTGGTTCCATGTAAAGCTTTTTATACTAGGTGTTGAGTTGGTAAGGGAAGCAGAATATATATGTTTAGTTTATTATCATTTTGTGCATTACTGTTAGCAGACAGCTAAAAACTGCACAGATTATTACAGTTTAAGTTGTAGCTTAAGAGCAGCAGTTAAAGTAATAATACCTAGTTTTCATAGACCTGTTTATTTCTTTAAATCTATTTGGACAGTGGAACTGGCCACTTAGGATCAGATCCAAAAAAGTACTTCGGTATCTGACTTCCCTTGAGGTGTTTATGCTCTGATGGAAATCAGAAGACTAGGTCGTGAAATACCTTTGCAGCAGATCTGGCAGTTTCTTGTGATTTCTGTTTTCCCATCAAGATCCATCATATTCTGATTCACTGCAGGGCTTGGGAGGAAAACCGAAGGAAATTTAAGCTCTTTTCTTATCAACTGCTTTAAAAAGAAAGAGAAAAGGAAATGTTTATTTTAAAAAAGAGTCCACTAGGTTTGGGGTAGAGTTGTGTTGGGAAGTTCTCTTCGGCTGAAGTCAGCAGGCGAAGGCAAGGGCTTGTTCCCAGAATGGTGGTGAGGGTGCGGTGATGGCGTGTTTGACAAATAAGGACATGAGCAAAGAGCCTTTTGCCACGTTGGCTTGGGCTCAGTTTAAAAGAGGAAAAAAAAAAAAAAGTCCTGGACGGGAAGAAAAATGAAATCACTGTTTGTCAAAGGGAAATAGATAGATCTGGGAGGGGGGCAGGGTTTATTATTTTTTTTTTTTTTACCTTCTAGTTTCAAAACAGGCATTCTGCCCAGGCCAGGAAAGGAAAAGTGAAAAATCTCTCATAAACAACCTCTTGAGTGCCCTGTTTGCTCATAGAGAGGGACCCTTGCTCATGGCACTGGCAATTTCTTCCTGCCTTGCCAAGCAGGGTTGCTCAGGGATGAAGACTGTGCACAGTGGTGTGGAAAGCTGGTCCCTACCTCTCATCCCATCCCTGGGAAGGCTGGCTCTGGAGCCACGCCTCCTATGGGAGCATCTCAATAAGCCTTATCACCAGGGATTAGATCTCCACTGGCTTTGAAACAACCAGTTCTCCTTAAAGGAGCGGTTCAGAGCCCAAGCTTTTATCTTGGTGCAGGACGTGGGTGGCTTGGAGCAGATGTAGCCAGCAGATATGATCCTCAGCTGCAGACCTGCCAAGGGCCACCTGGCAAAAATATGCATTTACTAATCACCTGTAACTATTGCTTCATCAGCAATACGGGTCTGATTTTCATTTGGGACCCTAGATACTGCTGCAACATGGAAGGGAGAGGATTGTATTCAGCGAGGGGATCACCTCTTTCCCAGCAACCCCTGGCTGTTATCAGTGTGGTTTTTATTGACAGGCCACAAAACCCTTTACAAAAGAATTACCAGTCTCTCCTTGATAAGGAAGCTGAAACAGAGAAAGCGCTTTGCCTAGGTCACCAGGCTGACAAGTGGTAGGTTAAAAATAGGACCTACATCTCCTGTGTCCCAGAGCAATTCTGTCTGCTACATTAATGTAAGAACTGTAAATGAATGAGAAAGAATTTGGGATATACCAAAGAGTATGTGCAGAAGTAGTTTAGGATGGGGGTTAGAGTGAAGAGACAATGAAAGTTTTGAACATTTGCATGAAACGAAATATAAAAAAGTTCAGGATAACAGTTCTTGTTAGAGCCACCTATGCATAGAGGGGCTGCAGTACTGTGGGCAGGGAACTATTCCCGTGTTCAGACCCACTGGATTCACTGGTTGTATTGTCCTCTTGCAATATGCAGAAAATCAGCTGAAGGGCTCAAATTCCTGTTGCCAAGGAATTTTGGAAGTTGAAATGCTGAAACATGGCCTGAAGAAGTAATGCACCATTCTCTGCAAGGCTATTCAAAGGAGACCTGGCTCACTTGTACCCAGTGTTCATGCCTGGGAGAAGGTGGGGACGTGTTGATAGATGCAAGCAGTGAGTGCCTCATCCTTGTTATGGAGGAGGTTGCCAGGCTCCCTCCTGGCGAGTGGCAGCGGTCGTGCCTCTCTGTGGGCTGTGACTCACCGCCTAAGGAAACAGCCAGAATGGAGGAATTTAATTTCTTTTTATTTTAAAATTTGGGTGTGCATATTGACAAATAGTTGGGGAGGAAAGAGATTGATTTTTGTCTACAGGGGTGCTGCCTTAAATAACACATCTGCTTCTCAACAGTATGGCAACTGGGGTCTGCCTTGGGTGCTAGGTTTCCTTTAAATTGCCTGCCTTTTCATGTTTGGAGAAGAAGAAAAGGCCAAAGAGAG